TTATTGTTTGGAGGGGGAATCCCCTTCCATAAGGACCTCAGGTATCAAGGCCCTATCCAGGGTTACTTCCTTTCTTTGTCTTGTACTGGCGCTAAGACCAGGTTGAGAGTCACTGTACCCTTGTTGAACAAAAAATCTGTCCAGACAGGTCTGTTTCTGGGTTGTCTTTAAGATTTGCCTAAAATGGGACAAGGCACTGTCACTGAACATGTTGCACACACAGCTTGCAACAGCTTTGCAACTCCACACTGCACACATGTCCTTAATTACTGAAGATGGCACATTCTCCCCTCTCTCTTCCTCCTCCTCTGAAGCAATTTCCTCAGCTGTGGTCTGTTGCTGCTCCAGTTAAAGGTCTTGCAGCTCTTCCATGGTTAGCTCTTCCACATCCTGGCCACTCACATCCAACCCCATGGACTTCCCCAAAGACGCAATATTCTATCGTGTTTCTCGCCTTCCTTATCAAAGGGCTGGCACTCGGAACTTTCTTTGGCCCCATGATGGCTTATTTAGCAGTCGCACTCAATAAACAAGCTCAAAAAACAATGGATTATTACGAAATGTTTGGATGAAGGCGTGGGGTGATGCTCACTGAGCGAGAAAAAAAGGCAGACTGAGTCACAAACGCATGGGGTGCTTTTTGTGGATGCTTGAGTGGCCAAGTCATGCGGACGCGTTTGGTATGAACCATTTTCAACTCTACGAAAACCGAGCAGATGTACGAAAACTGGGACAAAATTTTGATGAAAAAACTCATCAAAAACTGAATCCTATGAAAATTGGGGCATACGAAAACTGAGGTTCCATTGTATATATATAATAAATGTACAGATGGGCCTCATTTTACGTTTCATTTTACAGTATTCTGCTAATGCAACAGTTTTTAATAATACCCATTCTTCATTTATTGAGACTTCCTACAATAAATATATTCACCACTAACTATAAGCTATGGAGGAAAATATTTTAAGGTAAGTAATGTGTGTACTGCATAAGCATTTTTTCAGGCATAGTTATATTGCTCATATAATATATGATAGTGTAAACATGTTACCAGGTTCTTATAGGCACTCGAAAGGGAAAAGGCTATGATTTACTTTACAGTGCTTTTTGTTTTACAACACTAGCCGGGAACCTAACCTACTGTATAAGCTGGGTCCTCTTGTATATTATACTGTACATCATTAATTACCTACTTTTCTTTTTTTCGGGTGCCATGAAACGTAACCCAATTTTTTCCGATAAACTGTTTACTCTACCCACTGCAGTTTCATGTGTAGCTCCTTGAAAATGGATATACACATACATACATACACACATGCATGAACATGACATGACCCCTGCAACCACAAACAGGCGAGTACACACAGAGTAGGCACCTGTGAAGAGTGTGGTTCCACAGGGGTCAGTTAGAGGACCGGTGCTGTTTCTGGTATTAGTTAATGATATGACAATGGAATAGACTCAGAAGTGTCTCTGCAGACGATGTGAAGTTAATGAGGAGAATTCAATCGGAGGAGGACAAGGCAGGACTACAAAGGGTACAGGCCTAGTCTTGCAACTGGATCCTGGAGTTCAACCCTGCCAAGTGCAAAGTCATGAAGATTGGGGAAGGGCAAAGAAGACAGCAGACAGAATATAGCCTAGGGGGCCAAAGACTATAAACCTCACTCAAGGAAAAGGATCTTGGGGTGAGTACAATAACAAGCATATGTCTTGAGGTGAGTACAATAACAAGCATACGTCTTGAGGCGCACATCAACCAAGTAACTGCTGCAGCATATGGGTGACTAGCAAACCGAAGAATAACTTTCCGACATCTTGGTAAGGAGTCGTTCAGGACTGTACACTGTGTATGTCAGGCTTATATTGAAGTATGCAGCACTAGTTTGGAACCCACATCTGGGCACACACATCCGGAAATTAGAGAAAGTGCAAAGGTTTGCAACGAGACTCAAGAAATCGTAATGACACGACGGGCTGGAGTTTTGAGACTCTATGACCGCGGGTTCAATCCCGGCCGGGGGTATGGTTTGTTTGCAACGAGACTAGTCCCGGAGCTAAGGGGCATGTCCTACAAGGAGAGGTTAAGGGAAATTGACCTGATGACACTGGAGGACAGGAGGGACATGATAACAACAAATAAAATACTAAGAGGAATTGACAAAGTGGACAGAGATAAGATGTTTCAGAGATGGGACACAGTGACAAGGGGGTCACAATTAGAAGTTGAAGACTCAGACGAGTCACAGAGATGTTAGGAAGTATTTCTTCAGTCACAGAGTTTTCAGGAAGTGGAATAGTCTGGAAAGTGAGGTGGTGGAGGCAGGATCCATATATAGCTTTAAGAGGAGGTATGATAAAGCTCACGGAGCAGGGAGTGAGTGACCTAGTAGCGGCCAGTGAAGAGGCAGGGCCAGGAGCTGTCTCGGCCCCTGCAACCACAATTAGGCGAGTACAGTGGAACCCCGAGTTTTGGCTGCCCTGAGTATCGGCTGCTTCAAGTTTCAACTGCTTTTTTTGGCCAAATTTTTTCCCGAGTTTTGGCCAGCGTACCAGACCTGTCTGCCTGCCTGCGCTTGTGTGCCTCCCTGTGCAGGCGTCGTGAGCCAGTATAGCGCTGTTTATCCATGAGTGAACATTACCCTGCATGCTCACATCCTGCCAGGCAGGCAGCCATCCATCCATCCAGCCAGGCAGTCAGCCAGGCAGCCATCCAGCCAGCCAGGCATCCAGCCAGCCAGGCATCCAGCCAGCCAGGCATCCAGCCAGCCAGGCACCCAGCCAGCCAAGCATCCAGCCATCCATCCAGCCAGCCAAGCATTCAGCCATCCAGCAAGCAACCAGCCAGGCAGCCAGCCACCCAGGTAACCAGCTAGCCAGGCATCCAGCCAGCCAGCCAGCCAGGCAACCAGCCAGCCAGGCATCAAGCCAGCCAAGCAACCAGCCAGCCAAGCAACCAGTCATCCAGGCAACCAGCCAGCCAGGCAACCAGCCAGCCAGGCAACCAGTCAGCCAGGCAACCAGCCAGTTAGCCAGGCAGCTGAAAAATTTGTGCATGAATTTAAGGGGTATGTAGAGACTGAAAAATTCAAACCCCAACAAGTGTTCAATTGTGACAAAACAGGCCTGTTTTGCAAGAAAATGCCAAAGAGGACCTACATTACTCAGGACACAAGCCTATGAATGACAGGCAAACTCTCTTGTTCTGTGTTGGCATCTGGAAGATGACAGCAAGTCTCTTCAATAAAGGTAAGTAAATGTTATTTTAAATGTTTATTTATATTTTAATTTATCTGTTGTATACTACTAGTATACATATTTATCTGTGTTGTATTTATTTTTTGTGAATACTTTTGTGGGTCTGGAATGGATTAATGTTATTTACAATATTTCTTATAGGAAATATTGCTTTGCCTTTCGGCCATTTCGGCCATAATCCTGGAACGGATTATGGCTGAAACTCGGGGTTCCACTGTACAATTAGGTGAGTACACATACACACCAAAGGGTAACACTTTAAACACTTTAAATATACACTGTGTAATGGGGAACCCATCACAACAGTACTTCTGTGAAATATCTGGGGATACCCTTTGATAAATGCATGTCAGGACAATTAACTGTGATGTGCAATGTTGTAATGAAACAAGTGCCTGGTTAAAGTTCCTCTATAGAGAGGCACAGTGCCTGCATATTGAGGCTGGCAGGATCCTAGCTCTTATACAATGTCACACACAGTATATTCTTGTTTTGCATGGTATGTTGCTCTAACAAAAAAACTGAAAGACAGACTATGAATTATCCAGAATAAGATGGTAAGACTAATCTTGGTCTTGGGTCCATGAGAGGATGTAGGCCAAGATTAATTACAATGACTGGAAATGCTTAATATTGCAGATAGGGTAAGGCAGCTGAAGCTAAATCATGTTCACAAAATTACTCACAAGCAGTGTTCAGACTAACTTGCTACAAGTTTTGTCAAGGTTAGGCACTAAACCCTGCCCGGCATGGGGGAAAGCGAACACAACTCTGACATACTCTTAGTAATAAATGAGAGGAATGGGTTGCCTAACCAGGTCAAGGCTAGGCCTAGTATATACCAGTTTACTAAGAGAGCTAAAAAATAATGCCTAATAAACAAAGCTACAGAAAATGAGGAAAGTGATTTCTTACATAACCAATATTCGTGTAACTGTTATATTCACGTAATGTCTTTGTAATGCTCGTGTAATCCATTCTCATGTATTTGAGTTACTCATTTATTTTTATTAACAACACTCGTAATTGCTTTTACTGTATCTAATAGTTAAACTATAAAAAGTATTGCATCACACAGACCCTAATGGAGTAGGTAAGTAAGTAGGTTTATTTAGGCACAGTTAAACATAAGTACAATCATCATACATAATGTAAATTACCTAGGATAATCCCCAAAAATCAGATTTATTTCCACTGGGGTCCTTGTAGGAAATAAGCTACTTTGAATTTTTGGGTTATCCTAGATAATTTACTCATGTTATTATGCAAGACACATGTTATCATCCAAAAACTTGGAAAACTGTTCCTAAATAAACTTACCCTCCACTACTGTGAAATGATCTGAGTGTTAAAAGTAAAACCAACACAAGGACTCCAGTGGCAATAAGCTACACTGACTGACTTTACTGGCTTATCCTTGGTTAAATTATACCAAATTTATCACAAAATTATTGCAAATGATAAAATTATGCGAGGCCATAAATAAAAATATACTAATCTGTATTCATTTAGTTCATTATGTGAATGTGTGATCTGGTCAGAGAATATATAACTACGAGCCTCTTATTCAACACTAGTGTTCTGTTATTCATACTTATTTACCAATGTATAATATCAAATTATATATTAGTGGTGGGCAGAGGGCGGCTGACAGCCCTCCATGGAGAGAATATCTTAGTGAATTAAACCCGGTTTTACACCTGAAGGAAGACATAACTTTAGTTATAACTGACTAATACCTTGTTAACAGTCACTGTTGGTAAGAAATAGTGATACAGTCAGGTATTACCATCAAGCTGAGCCCAGATCAACACTGTATCAGCTGAGAGTATAGATGTGTCAATGTTGTCATCCACAATGTGTCAACTCTCTTACAATAAACAAAACAACATCACATATGTCAGATTTGTCAGTAATTGTGAAAGTTTCTTTCAATAATAGAAGGCAAATATCTTCTCTACGCTAATAACATTTTTAGTGTTACTTATCGCCAGATAAAATAATTGTTAATGTTTATGTTAGAAGCGAATTTTTGGGATAATACTTAAAACAATTAATGGTTTACTTTTGGAGTGCCCTAACTAAACCTGTTTTATAGAAATTATGTCTTCTGCATTTGCCTTATAAATTTACATTTTATTTAGGCACAGGTACACATAAGTACTTTGCAGATATGCTGCTATGTATGATATTCTATGTAACTGTATTTGTGTATACCTGAATAAATTTACTATTATACATAGTGTAAATTATCCAGGATAGCCCCAAAAAATCAAAGTGATTTATTTCCGTTGGGGTTCTTGTGATATCTTATTTAAATCTTAAAAAGTTAAAACAGCGGGGTGCAACCTCTTCACAGAAAAATGTTAATATAAGATTCTGTTCGGATTTTTAACCTCACAGGATTATCACCCAGGATAACCCAAGAAAGTCAGTGTGTCATGGAAAGACTGTCTTATTTCCAATGTGGTCCTCAACCTGGTCTAGATGTTTCTTGAGAACTTCTCTTCTTGTTGGGCATTTAGCAGCGAGGGTGTGGTGCTCATTCTTGCAGTTCAGGCATTTAGGTGGAGATGTGGTGGTGCAAGCCTTGAAATCATGTCCTTTGTTGGCGCAGGTCGAGCAGAACTTCTTGTATTTGGTAGGACAATCCTTGATGATGTTCATATAAGAGTAACAGCTGTAACACTGTGTGATGTGCTGGAATCTCTCGGCTTCAATGTAACTTGGGTTGATATGGAAGTAAGTGAAGTAATGGATTGCCAGTCCCTCTGCGAGAGCTTTGGTTGCCATATCGACATCAGTGAAGGTGACCTTGAGCATTGAAAAAGCGTTATATTTTGGTAATATGTTCCACCGTGGCCCAAGGGTCCTGGTCTTCTACTGAAGACTTAATTTCTTCAATAGCCTGGGTTGTGATGAGCTTATCCAGTCGCTTAAGGAACACAGTTCTCTTGACCCTCAAAGCTGGGGATGTCATGACTTGAAATCCTCGTCAGTGGTGACAAGTTTCTCAGCTTCGATGTCGTCAGAGCAGACAAGGAAAGCCTCGTGGAGAGATAGAATCACATTACATTTAACCTGCAATATGCCGCTAACGGCATCTGCAAGTGCTAATTTGGACGAGTCATTGACTGTCCCACTTCTCGGTTTGATCTTCACTCGGTTTGAGAAATGCATCGTGGAAGGTGACGTCGAATGCAGAAGTAAAAGTTCCCCTCCACAACGGGGCTTGCAGGGATACTATGTGTTGTGTCCATGTTCACCTAACAGTAAAATAGGTACCTGGGTGTTAGTCGACTGGTGTGGGTCGCATCTTATTATTATTTTTATTAAAGATTAGCCGGTATTCTCCCGGCCCGGGCCTTTTCCAAGTGGTGGCCCGGCCTTGGCTCCCTCTTTAGGGAGTGTCTGAGACCTAAGTCTCCCATGGGAGGAGGCACAAGTACCTCCTCATCTTTGGGACCAACTGCCATCCCCACCCCAAGGGGGCAAATGGGAATGACAGTCTTATGAGCTAAAGGCTCGGGCTCAGGCACCTACCCTACCCTAGAAGGGTTAGGCATGGTATCGATCCGGTCGCATCTTAGGGACAAACTTGACCTAATTTGCCCTAAATGCTTTGCATAAGAAGGGGCTTTCTGCATAGTAGTATGTCATTGATGTTAGCTAGGCCTGTGTACCTTGTATATGTTCTTGCAGAAAGATTATTATTATTATTATTTTTATTATTATTATTATTATTATTATTATTATTATTATTATTATTATTATTATTATTATTATTATTATTATTATTATTCATTCTTTAGTTAACCATAAATTACAAGACAGAATATTCCATTTTCTATAATACTAAGAAAAGAGAGTGTAAACACCGATTATAAACTGCAGGGAAGACTTGTAATGATTAACAGATTAGTAACCCAGGAACACAAGAACACATCGAATGTACACAACAGCAGGCCTACTGCACGTCTAACTCACACTCATGACTTTCCTTGTATACAGTCTGAATCTGCTCACCATTAAGAACATCCATACTTATTCATGTGCCTACTACATACACAGAACAATACACGCAAATATAAACCCTCCATTCAAACCTCTCCTCACTAACCTAAACAGGACACATGACCACAACATAAGACACAGATCTCTTTTTGATGTACCTCGTGTCCATATCACACTGTGTAAAAACTCTATGCACATAAAGGGCCCCAAAATTTGGAATTCATTACCAGAAGATACTAAAGTAACCCGGTCTGAAAATCAATTTAAGACTCTTCTCAAAAGCCACTTAATCACCCTAGACTAAATGCTAAATACTCAGTACACACTTACTTATGTACTCCCACATCATAACTTCAACAATCACTTTGAACCTTTTATCCATTGTTGACAGTAATATAACTGAATCATTGTTTTCACAAAAAACATTTTTGAATATATGAATATATCTTTTGTCTTATACACATTTGATTCACTTATAATTAATAATCTACTGTACAACTATGAAATAATTACTATCCTACTGTACAACTATGATATGCTCCTTAGTGTTAAGTAGTCTGTAAGCCAATAATGTTAAGTTGGCACATAATGCCTAGGCATAATAGAGGCTCTCTTTGCATTGTAACCCTCTACTGTAAATACAAAATCTCAATGTACTGTTTGCAAAGACATAAAATAAATAAATAAATAAATACCTATCATGGCTTAAGACGTAAGATTTATACACTAACGATCTTTCAAATGGATCGCAGCCACAGCAACTTAGACTTATTCTCTTAGCCGACGACACAACTTTTGTCACCTCCCACCCAAATCTAGCATCACTCAACAACATTTTTAATGAAGAACTCTTAAAAATATTAACCTGGATGACTACCAATAAACTCACACTTAACATTATGTTTGGGAACAAAGTTATGATTAACAAATACTCCAGGTGCTATAGACTACCTCAGGTGCTACTGATTTTGCTTTTAATACATTCTTTTACTATTATATCCATTAGCTCCATTTATTTTAACTGTAAATATCTACTGTAGTTCATAAGCTCACTTGTTAAAATAATTAAAGTGCTACTAGATATTTAAGTGTATAACTGAATTATCAATTCTGTAATAATCCCTTTTTCTTTCAAATTTTTACAAGTTTTAGATTAATCACGGTGTCTTAGTCATTAAGTCTAGCTGTAGATTCAATATAAATCTTATATCATTTTACTAAGAAAGTCTAGTTTGTAAAATTACTCTCATCCTATGATTACAGGCATAGATCCTGATGTAAACTTTTTACAAAATGAATTATACGAATCAACAAGTAACTGTAATTACTACACAGCAGACCAAGCAAAGACATAACTCAGTGCAAACAATAACATAACCATCTTTAACTACAATGTCAGATCCTTGAGCAAACATTATGACGACCTCACAGCATTACTCAGTTCCCTTCATTCCAATATATCAATCATCACACTCACAGAAACCTGGCTTAAGCCTGATATTACAGATGTCTATATCATTCCTGGCTACATGGCCATACACAACTGTAGAACAGACCAGCAAGGGGGAGGAACAGCTATATACTATTCAAATCAACTCGAATGTATCAATAAATCTTGCACAAGGGATGAACATAGAGAATATATCATAGCCAGATTTAAATCAAAAGACCTGCAAAAACCCCTCACAGTTATAAACATATACAGAGTACCACAGTCAAACATTTATCACTTTAGTGAAAAACTAGGAAACATGATTACTGATGCACACATGAATAAAGACCACCTACTACTAACAGGAGATTTCAACATAAACATACTACACGACCAGGACCCACAAGCAACCGAATTCACAAACACAATGAGTAACTGCCTGTTGCTACCAGCAATATCTAAACCTACAAGAATCTCCGAGACAAGCATCTTCTTAATAGACCACATCTGGACAAACACCATATCCCCTTTAAAATCAGGCATAATCCCAGACAACATTACAGACCACTACCCAACCTTTCTCATAACTAGTCTGGGCAAACTACCACAAGACATTACTAAAGTAACCTTCAGACTACATAACGAGACAGCAGTTAACAGCTTTATAGCAGCTATTCAATTCAATTCAATTCAAATTCAAAGTTTATTCTCTATAAAGATTACAATGCTGAGTTTACAGAAATTTGGTTATTGTGTGGTTTACATGTAGTAAAATTGTGATTACAGAGTGTACCACTAGAACGCTTAGCATGGCTAGGCATTTCGGGCAGACTTAGTTTTATTCTTAATTGTAAAATATTACAAATTATGAGGTAAGTTGGTATTATGGCTAAGTGACTAAATACTAGTTTGTGAGTTTAGCAATGTGAATGCTTTTGTTTTGGCACAGTACATAGTTTCAGTATTGGAGTATCACAGGATTCATTATTTTAAGATTGAGATTAATATTTCTGTTTATGGTCAAATGAGTGAGTGAGTGTAAGTGTGAACCACCAGGTGGTATTCGTGTAGTTAGTTGACGGGGTGTATCAGGGAGATAAGATGTTTTCTAATGGTAGTTTTGAAGGTGATGAATGTGTCTGCAGTTCTAGAGTTCTCAGGTAGGGTATTCCAGATTTTAGGGCCTTTGACATACATTGAATTTTTGTAAAGGTTTAGTCGGACACGGGGAATGTCGTAGAGATGTTTGTGTCTGGTGTTATGCCTGTGGGTTCTGTCACAACTATCAAGAAAGCGTTTTAGGTCAAGGTTGATATTAGAGTTTAAGGCCCTGTAGATGTAGATTGCACAGTAGTAAGTGTGGATGTACTGAACTGGGAGTAAGTTTAGGTCTATGAAGAG